CTGCCACGGGCGAGCCATGGCCGAGGACCAATTCCTGTGCAGCCCAACTCGCTGCAGCCCCGTGGGTGACCCTGGCTGTCCCCCCGTTCCCCCCGGGGGCATCGCATCCCCCTGTGCTCTGCCCCAGCCCTCGGTCCCACCGGGTGCTCCCCCTTTTAACAAAATAAAGGTTTCCGTGCACCGGGGCGGTCGCCTTGGCTTCTGCCGTGGGAGGATGGGTGGTGAGAAGGGGGCGAGGACACGCCGGGAGGAGAAACTCCTCTGCTGTGTCCCTAGCTGGTGTTTGCGCTCCCATCCCAGAAGGATTTCCTTAATTTGGGAGGAGAAAGGTTTTTTTTTTTTTTTCCCCCTTATCAGCCCCAGTGCTGGTGGGCAAGCTCCCTGTGGGCTTGGAGGGGGTGATGGGGATGGGTTGCAGGATGCTCCTGGGCTGGGGGAGCTGCCAGCCCCTCTTGCCTTGGACCGCAGGGGAGGTCTGGGGGACGCAGGGATGGTTTGGGGCCTGTGCTGGAAATTGGAGAAGGTCTGTGGGATCTGGGGAGGTCCCTGGGGCTCGGGGAAGGCGGTTGGGCGTGGGGAGGGTCCCAGGGTTTTCTGCAAGGTCCCTACCCTTTTCCCCTGGGATCCCGCTTTTACAGGGGACCAGACAGATCCTATTTTGCATGGAAACAGAGTGGATAAGGAATTAATCCCACTATTATCGGGACCAGGAAGGGCTGCTGGGCTCTGGCATCATCAGGAGATGTGCTGGTGAGCGTGGGAGAGGCCCAGCATGGGCTGGACCCTGTCCCCTTGCCCCTGGCCTCCTGGGGATGCGGCAGGACCAGGTCTCAGATTCCCACTTTCCGCGGAGCATGCGTGAGAGCCCTGGGGCCGGGTTTCTGCCGGGAGCCCCGAGGGGTTTCCGGCTGCCCACAGCCCCGTGGCAGTGGAGCCAAGACGAATTTGATCTGGGGGAATCACCGGCCAAATCCCAGCGGATGGCAGGCGTCCCTCTGGCTCGTCAGCACCCACGGCAGGACGGAGCAGCGGCGGGTTTTCCTCCGGCTGACCTCCAGGCTGAGGATTTGCTCAGTTTAGGCTTTATTTGTCGCTCCCGTGCCTCCCTGCCAGCTCCCCGGGGGTCTGGGGTGGAGGTGAGACGGGCACAGCCTGGGCGGAGGGGCTGTGCCCCATGCCCCCCTCCGTGCCAGCCGTCGGGCAGCCCCGCGTGCCGGCCGCTGCCCGCTGACGTCCCGCGGGGTGTAGGTTTCATCCCAACCCGCGGGGCACGCGGGCCCGGGGATAATTTTAGTCTGCCCCGTTTTCCAGGCCAAGGCACTTTGGCATCCGGGGGTGACGGTGTGACTGCCCGGCTGGTGGCAGCGCCCCAGGGCAGAGCAGGATCCGTGCTGCGGCCCCGGGGTGCAGCCCCCACTGCTGGAGGGGGGGGGGCTCCGGCCGTGGTGGGGGATGCTGGAGCCTTGCTTGGGGGGCTTGGGACTGTCATCCTCCCCCCTGGGCGCTGCGTCCTGCGGGCAGGGGTTCGGCGGGAGGCTTTGGGGTGAGGATTCAGCTGGAGCCCTGGGCATTTGATCCGCTCTTGCAGAGCTGATTCATCACCAGAGCCGGCGTGTGAAAGGATGTATGGAAATCCTATAGCAGCAGTTGTTCCCGAGCTGTGCAAAGTTCACATAGTGCTAAGGCTTCCCACGTGCTCGTCGTGCCATGAGTTTCTGTTTCACGTTCCTGAAAGGCTCTTGGAAGTCGCTGGTCATTCACCCTGGCCAGCGTGACCGTCTCCTGCCCAGCCTCCAGCAGGTACGCTGCTCCGGAGCGGGTAGTAGCAGGAGATCTCATCCTGGTGGTTGCACAACATAACACCAAAGTATTTTTTTTTAAAAAAGCAGAATTTGGGGTGGTTTTTGTTGCCGCTGTGCTCAGGGTGACCTGCTTTGGAGGGTTTTAAATTGCAGAGTACTGGCAGGAGTTCAGCAGGCTGCACGATGTACCACGTACAGCTGCAGAGGGAGAAAAAAAAACGCTCACAGGGGAGGATTTACCGGGGAGAAAGTGTCCAGGCGATAAATACTGTAGGAACTCAGCTAACACTAAACACTACAGGAGCTAGCGTGGTGCTCAGAAACGAGGGGGGGTGCCAGTCCCCAGGAGATTTTGGTGATGTGAGATACTGGGATGTTCTGCCTCAGTTCCCCTCTTTGCAACAGGAGCTAACTCCGCCCTGGGGTGTTTTATATTCTCCGTGGGCAGAGAATACCAAAGTGCCTTTTTTAGGCTTCGATTTTTGCTTGAAGGCTGGCTTGAAGCGAGCGCGATGTCTTTTCCCTTATATGTCTTCAAGAAAGCAAAATGGTTTTGTACGGCTTATCTGTTAACACGGGGGAAACCCTGATGGAAATTGTATGCCAGGTCCCGCTGGGGAGCTGGGGTGGCTTTTTTTTTTTTTTTTTTTTTAATTGCCAGCGAGCAGAGCTGCAGCTAATCTGCGGGAAACGCTCCATGTAACGATGTCAAATGGACTTACAAGGTATCGGTGACAAGTCACAGCACACTGTCCCCGGCCCAGGCGTTCCTCAGCTTTGCCACTGACGAGCGCCTGGCTGTGTAACGGTGTAATTATAGTTTTGTGGGTCTCTCCAGGCACGCGCGGGGTTGCACACGAGGCAATATGCCTTTTTATAGCTTGTGGAAGTGTGGGTGATGCCATCAGTATTCGTGTCTCGTTTCTGGCCGCAGCATCCCCGTTCTGGCCAGACAATCGGAAAATATCGGTGTAACACGAGGACAAGGTGGTGGATGGGACTCGCTGCCGGTCTCGCTTCTGGCTGTTTCACCAGGCTGTTTAAAACACCCCTTGAAATAGGCTTGGGAGGTTTTGGGGTGACTTCTGGCTAATCTTGCAGCTGCTTTTCTGGAGCAACGTTTCTAATTAAGGCCTGCCCCAAAACCTTCTGAAGTGACACCACAGCCAAGTTATTTTAGTGCCCCGAAGATCACCACGCTCAGCCCACGTGAGAGGTTTTGTACTTTAACACGGTGAACCTTTTATGCGTGGTGCGCCGCATGTGCTTTAGTACATCAGTGTAATGGCACCTCCTATCTTTAGCCGCTGTATTTCGATCGCGGGTTGACAGATCTCAACACGCTCACCTATCTCACCGCAGGATTTAAGCTCAATTAGTTACCAGGCATGGAGCGGTGTGGAGAGTTTATTATTAGCTTGGAGCCACTAGCCGAGATCTTCACTCTGGGTTTGGCTCGTCGGAGGAGGCCGAGGGGTGACCTGGTTGCTCTCTGCAGCTTCCTGAGGAGGGGCCGTGGAGAGGGGGGTGCTGAGCTCCTCTCCCCGGGATGCAGGGACGGGACGCAGGGACACGGCTCAGAGCTGCACCAGGGAGGCTCAGACTGGACGCCAGGCAGCATTTCTTTACCAAGAGGGCGGTCAAACACCAGAACAGGCTTCCTCGAGAGGTGGCCGGTGCCCCAAGCCTGTCGGTGTTTTAAGAAACATTTGGACAACACCCTCAAACCCAAACTTAAAACGACTGATCAGTGCTCGGGCAGTGGGACCAGATGATCCCGGTAGCTCCTTCCACCTGGACGGCTCTAGTCTGCAGCCGCGGCCGTTGTCCCCGGCCGATGCGAGTGCGGAGGCTGCTGCTGGGGCCGGGGGCGGCAGAGACCCGGCCGAGAGGCGACGCGTTTGGCAGCGCTCAGCCTTAGCGCTGCTGGCGCTGCCGGGCGGGTGAAGGTCACCGTTTGGCTCCCGGGTGAAGCACAGGGGTCGTGGAGCTCATAAAGGAGGGAAGGCAGGCAGAATGCTGTTCTCAAAGTACACGGTAAGCGGGAAAACAAAGGTCTAACCTCTCAGTTTTGCTTCGGGAACAGCATCCCCATTCCTTTCTCAAGCACCTTATGCTCCGCGTTACGATTTGGTTCAATATTCTGATTGTTTGCTGAAGTACTCTTGTGCTGTCTTGCTTGGAGTGAGAGGCTTTTTTTTATCTCACTAAAATACTGAGAAAAAGCCCTAGCAAAAAAAAAAAAAAAGATCAGTGAGACTATCGCCACTGATACTTAGTTTTGCTGGAAAGGGAGGACAGGGGTAAGGAATCTGTAGACTTTGTGCAAACTTACCAGAAGCATTTGGAAAAGCAGAAACTCCCGTACATACATTTTAGTCATATTGTGTTATTGGGCACTTTAATGCAAGATTTTGCCAAAAACGTAAAACCCACTTGGGTGTGAACTCTTCCCGTGACACCTTTTGAAGGCAGATTACACAGGGGTAGCTGCTCTCCGCAGCACGTTCCCTATACTTCCACAGCAAGTTCATGAAGTCTATTGGTAAACAGACTGCACCAGAACTTCAAAGATGAGTTTCAACACTGTTTCAAACTGAAATTATGATGGCATTCTCAGTAGTAGTTCCTGAAGTTTCCTAAATTAGCACAATTGTAATATGAGGCTGCTACTCTCATTCCCCCCAAAAAATCCCCAATTTGCCTTCTGGATTTTAAATTCCCAACTCCAGCCAGTGCCAGCTCTCGAGGTTGAACTTGCTGAAGAATTTAGGACTAAATAATGTTCTCATTTGGACTGCAAAAGGCAGAAATAGAGGCTTCTGGCCAAAATTCTCACCTTGGGATCATCTGAGTGTGGTGTAAAATGGGCCATAGTATCTTTATGTGCTAATTTGTTTTGAGCGTGAAGTGACAAACGCCACAAAGCTGGGGCTGACATAAAACTGGTTCCACACCAGCACTTTAAAAATATCTGAAGTGCTGTTCACCTCCACAAATCTCCCTCGGGGTGGGATGTCTGAACCTCCAGGCCAGTGTCATCACTTAAATTAAACCAGCGACTCACAAAAGGAGGCTCGAGGCTGCACCAGTGTGAAACTTGAAATGCCGTATGAAAAAACAAGGGCTGTTAGTGTGTTTTGTGCCCATTTCTACTGCAGTAACTGTGACTGATATATTAAAACAGGACCTCAAAAAGAGTTTTTAAAGTGATTTTTACTGAATTTAAGAGATGACATTACAAACAAGCCATTACATGAGACTTAATATCTGCAGAAGCATGTAAGAAGAGTCAGGTTTCCCAATGCAGGTCTACTTGTTTCATTATAAAAATGCATTTTCAACTCAAGTTTAAGCCAGTGGAATACAAAATAAAGAAAATGAAAAAAACAAAAAAACAAACCATAAACACAAATCAATCCTGTCCATCATGGAGTTGTGAATAAGTTATCTTCATTTTTCAATTATATACAAAAGATACTTTCCAAAGGACAGTACAAGAAGAGTTTACACAAATAAACCCTCGTTCCAACTTTAAGTACTATTTACATCATTCTGTACACGGGTCTGTCAGGTCTTCCGAGACCCTGAAAAACAAGAAGGGAAAGCATGGCTATCCAAGCGTTGTTTCCAGCAGTCAGTCCCTCGTGCTTCACCCCCTCAGAAGCAGGGACTTATTTACCTATAAGCAATTTAAAAGCTTGTTGTGAATATCTTCAAAGACTTGATTGTAAAGTTCATCTCTAGACTTCAGTCCATCTAAATAAACTGAAAGAAAAAGATGGAGTCAGGCTGTAGGTTTCTGATCATAACAAAATTTCTGTAGATTAGTCTTAAAATATTTCATACCATTGACCCAAATTGCAACTTGTTTTCCAACTGGAAAAACTGAACCATCCTGGAAAAAACTATGGCCCACAAAAATCTCTTATCCCATTATAAGGAATGGGGGGCTTTATTCACCCCCCTGAGTGCTTATAACATGAAATAAAGGGAAGAAGTTCTTAGCTGTAAAACTGCATATATTTATCTGGACAGGAAATAGACCAGGATTACAACTTAGTATTAAAAATAGTGCCTTGCATCATTACAGTTAAAGTTTCCTTGAATTAAATTACTGACTTCCTTTAAATCCAAAGTACAATGCCAAAGGATTTGTATTTCGGGAGGCTTACCGACATCCACACCGCAGTCCTCCATTTCTTTCCTGTGTTTTAGGTACATGGGCCAGACGTGTCCATCAAAGAGACCCGGTGGGTCAGGCACAGTGTAGTTACGTGTACTGCAAACAGCAAAAGGGAAAAAGAACATCAGGGCTACCAGGCTCACACTGCTGAGGCCTGAAGTTAGTCTGACAGCCGGTCAGCTGCATTTATGTGGAAGCCAATTGTCACAGCCCAGGTTCTCATCGATACTGGTCTGTGTTTTGCAACAAGTTTATTTAAGCACCCAAAGTGAATACAGAAGCTACAGGTAGCTGAAGAAGGCAAAGCTAGCAGTCTCCAAGGGTTTACTGATGCTCACAGGGAAGCATACAACAACTCGGTTCCTTTTGCACCAACATGCTGATCTCTATAAAACCCACACAAAGGGGACTGCCAGATCTGAAGTTTCAGAAAATGCCACGTGAAAAATCCTTCTCTACTTACATTAAAATTTTCAACCGTAATTCCAGTTTGTGACACTAATATATCCCATTAACAGCAACACAAAGGCAGCCTGAAGGCTTGCCTGTAGTAGCAAGTCTTTATTGGAAGGAAGGAATAGACTCATGCCAAAGAATCTTCCTACCTTCTCCTCCTCTTGCATTCATCATATGGAACTGCCAGGTAGTAGCGTATGTCAAACAGGTCTATCAGTGGTCTAAGGTGAGGTAAAAAGAAATAATGTATTTTTTTTCTGATAGAGAAAAGCATTAAATCACCCCTGAAAGTCATAAAAATCTTTTTGCCTCTCTCATATCTGTCTGTTGTAGACAACAGAAGTGTTTTCATTAAGACAAGCTAATGTGCAGTAGGTTTATTAGTAGCTGTAAAATGTGGAGAATGCTGTTTCCTGAAGGTCAGGATGGTAGGCCAGGTACTTTTCCCACCCAAATATCTACTAGTTACTGTGTGGGATCAGGCACAGGGCTGCTTAGATCTGGGGTGTGAATGGTGACTCCTTTTAAATAATTTCAAATTCTGCTTGCAGTAGACCAAAACTGCAGTTCATCAATCTGATATGAACCAACTTATCAAACTGTCTGACCTGTTGTGCTGAAGCAAGCTGTCAAAATGTGCATGGGCGCAGATTTGGTACAAGGCAACTCGTCAGCTCATGTTCTTTTTCAGAAATATGGGGAGTGAGCTCTACCACAGCTTACTGCACTGCACTCCTATTGGGCTGAAGAAAAACCCAGAAAAATCCTTAAAGCAAATCTAGTTTGAAGCTGGTGTGTCCGAGACTTCTAAAAGCCTGCTGCGGGTTGCATAAATGCTTAATATAGTGTGAATCGAGCAAGCTACTCCCTCCAGACTGGGGAGAGGTTCCCGTTAAGAAGATGGGCCGCTTCAGAGGTATTTGTAACCTTCAGGAGAGATACCGAGAGTCACCTCCCCAGGGACAGGCCAAGAGCACCTGGCAGTTTGCCAGCACAACCTCCAGTTGGTCATTCTTGGCCTGGATAGCTGGAGGCTGGCATTTTACATTCTGCTTGGAAAGCCAGAATGGTGCTGTTTGTCTTATGGTACAGCTTATAAACTTTTTTTTTTTTTTGCCAAGTGTCATGCACAGCTTGTTCTCTTGAAAGAGTTTTGTAAACAGAACTATACTTTGGAGCCAAGAATATTTTGCTTGTCATGTTTATAGCATGCACTTTTCTGAAGTTTATATATTTAGCTATTGGAAGTTTTCTCTCTCTTCACTGCTAGTCTTGTCTCCTCATCTTCCTGCCAAGCATTTTTTTCCCATATAAGAAAAGCAAAAAAAAAGGTTGATCTTTGCTCCAATATACAATTAATTACTAAGCTCAATTTAGTCAAACAAGCGCATGTATCATGTGAACTATTCTTGAATTCCATGGGATATTCCAAGCAGTGGATGCAGGATGGATTATCTCCCTGTTCTCATCAACAATCTTTTCAGGTCAAGGTTTAGGCAGTGTGGTGGGAGACCAGGAGGGAAGCCTGTGCCTTCACTGCTGGCTCAGTATTTACAGGTTCTAGCCTAAAGCTCCCCATGCTCTGGAGTTCAAGGGTATGCCCAAAATGAGGACTTCCTACATTAACCCTGGAAAAGTCACCTTGTGCACCTCACTTCTACCAGCATTTACTGGTAAGTTACATTTTATTTAAGAAAAATTCTTATGCACGATACCTCAGAACAAGACAGGAAGGGTGTATTAGTAAAAAGGAGGTTTTAGCACTGGCACTAGGGATCTAGAGTTCTTCCCTGGCAAACCATTAATAGTTCCCCAAACCTTACTTGTAATTATAAAGCAGGAAGCCTTCAATGACCAATATATGGATATCTTTGGAGGCTGGCTCTTTAGAGCCAGGCATAACATTCACCCCGTGGGAACGGGCAAACTTCACTGGGTTCTCAATCCACGCACGTACAGTGCTCACCATTGCCTCCATATCCAAGGAGTCCAACACTAGTTAGAAGAAAGGGGATGGGTGGGAAAAAGGTATACAATCAAATACCAGGAACAACATAGGCTTGAAAATATAGAATGAACTTGTAAAATTGAAATTACATAAATTTACTGTTAAGTCTTTAATAATTAAAAAGAAATACTTAGGAAAAATATACATTACTGCATCCTATAGCGAACACTGCTCTTACCATCCCATTGTTTAAAGCCGTCTTCCCCGACTTCTATTTGATCTTGTGGCTGAAATATAGTGAGCAATAAAACATTGCTGCAAACTCAGCGTGATCAGTTACCTAAGATCCGATCACAACCTGGATGCTACTGCAATACACAACAAAGCAAGTGTTCACTTAAAACAATTACAGACCTTATTTGGACTACATTAAAATTTAAGTTCCCATCTTTCACCAACCCCAAGAACTTTAAAATGTTTTCTTGGCTCAGTCAAACCACTTAGGACAAAGAGTTCTAGGTTAATAATTTGATATGGTGTTATTAGCCAAAATACTACAGGTCCCTGTTTACAAGTCAACATATAAGAACTTAAAATGGAAACACAGCGTTAAGTAACTGCTAAAATTTACATGTTCAAGAATAGCTATTTTAATTCCTAACAGCTCTAATAAAAATGCAGGTCAGCACAGCATGACTGTTGGTCATTTATTGCTTTACTTGCTAGCATTTGCCAGCTAAACACACTAGTGAGAAGTTATAGATCTCTATGGAAAGTCAAACAGAATTTCTCCACTATTTTAAGGGCTCCCATCTGACCAAATCTGCACATAAGGCTTCTGGCAAAGGAGCTCTTCCAAACAAGCAGCTCATTCTGTTTCATACAGCATGTGCTCCTGCAAAGGCAGGACAAACTGCCCACGGGGCTGCCGATGCTGGAGTACCTCGCGTGTCAGTGGGCACCATACAACTACTTCAGGTATGTCGCCACATCTCCTGGACTTCCATGTATGGTGGGGTCCAGCTATATTGTAATTCTTGTGAAATGGCTGCAGCCAGGGTTTTGTAACAGTCATGATGTGACTGCTTCCCCCACTGCTCTCCCAGGCTTGGTGCAGAAAGCACCCGAGTCAGCACAGGTCTTCTGTATTCAGGTTTAACAATCTTTTAATTGGGGAGCTTCAACAGCTCTGTATCAGAAACCCAATATAACCATCTTTCTGTATTTAAGGCAGTGTAGGTGTGCTTAAATCCTAGAGCATTACTTAGAAGCAACATTCTTATTTAAACAAAATAAGGAGGAAAACCCACCATGGAGCAAGTTATTTGCACAGAGTACACTAAATGACTTCTAACCTAGATCAGTAGTTTGACCTAAAGTCACATCTGTTGTTAAAACCAAAGGAAGCTTTTGCTGCAACTGTTCTGTGCTTGGCTGTGCCAAGCTATGCCTCTGTGGGAGCTGGCAGACACCAACATTTGTAAAGGGCAGGGTCTCCTTGAGTGTCCAAAGTAATTTAAAAAAAAAAATAAATGTATATAGGTTTAAGAAAAAAAGAAAAAAAAAAACAAACCCAAAAGCACATTACTCCTAAGCTGTCAAAACTTACCTGAAAAGCATGCGAAAATACCTAAAACTTACAGGGGGCCCCTACTACAACTATCCCTACATACACAAGCAGCAGTCAGTGTTTTAAACAAGGGGAGGAGCTCAGCTTACCTTGAAGAAGTCATCCTGATGGACCACGCAGCAGTTGGGGAGCGCCTTGATGACTCTGTTGGTCAGGGTGGTTTTGCCACCGTTGGTGACACTGCACGGAGAGGCGGGAGAAGGGCGTCAGAGCCGCCGGGACCCCGAGGGGACCCGCACCCCGCGCGTTTGAATTTCCCGCCTCGCCGGCGCCACGGCGCGCGCTGGCCGCCGATTGGCTGTGACCGCCGGCAACCGGCAGCATCCGCGCGCGCGCGCGCGGGCCCGGCGGCGGCTCGCGCCCTCCCCAACGGCCGCCCCGCTTCCCGCGCGCGCCCAACGGCCGCGCTGAGGGAGCGCGGGGCCGCGCCGCCATTTCCCCCCACGCCCGGGCGGGAGGGCTGGCGGGGGTTCTCCTCCACCTTTGCTCCCCACGGATCTGCCCGAGCTGGGGGAAACCCGGTGGGCGCCTCCTCAAGATGGAGGCGGCGGAGCTGCCGCCCTCCTCCCGGACGCCCTGTCAGCCCCCGGCGGGGTCTTCGGTGACCGCTGGCTCCTCTCCCCGCTGGGGCCCGGCGGGGAGCTGGCAGCTTCCGAGGTAGATTTAAAACAAGCCCTTGCCGGCATTCATTGCCCTAAAACACCCTTGCTTGCTAGGAAGCTTAGGCTCATCAGCTTAAAAAGCCGCCCCGTGAAAGTCAGGCTTGAGAAAAATGCCTTTTAAAAATGCCTTAACTGAATTATGAATGAGGGAGGCTCGCTCTTTTCTCAGAGTATGACTCAGACTTATTTATGGCAGCGAAACCCGTTTTAATATAAAAGGCCTAAATAATCTTCCCCTCCAAAGGAGAGGGCTGTCAAGTCTGAATGTATTTATTCTTTTTTGTTTGTTTGTTTTTTTATTCAAAGGCTATAAAGCCTCCCACTGTCTTTAACCCATGTTATAATTCAAGGTCTTGCCCGGCGTCAGTTTTGCAAACCCTTCTGCAGCCGGCTGGGATGTGCCGAGCTCTCTCGCCCTGTCCTAACACGCAGGCAGGCTTGCTTCTCAATCCTACTTTATCGAGAAAATAAAAGCTTTTTGTACGCCCCCCGCCCCCACGTTTTACTTGAAGCAGGGTGGTTTGTTTTTTTGTTTTTTTTTTTTTTTTTCTCTTTTGTCTTTCAAGGAAGCTTTTAAAAGTCCAACAATGTTGAAAACATCCTTTTTCATAGTCGAGGCATACCACTCCAACTGACTTACAAATTTATTTGAGATATTTTTTTTCAATTTCATCATTGAGAAATATTTAATTTCAGGTCTTGTTAATCCTATAAAAGTTCGGGGTATACCGCCCTGCAGAGCTCTCTGTATTTAAGCAGCACAGATGAAGAGTCAGCAAGCTGCATCTTTTCTAGAAGCCTGTAATACTATTTTATAGTCCGATATACAATCTCCAAGTCTTAGATCATCTTATATACAGCTAAATGGGAAGAGAAAGCAGTATGTATATATAAAATTAACAGGAACTCACCCTCCGATGCCTATGATATATTTCATCTTCGCAGAGTTGCCTCCTCAGCAGGAATGCGGTGAGAAAAAAAAAAGAAATGCAGAACCGCTGAAATGCCTTTCAGCGGAACAAGCCTACACCTGCCCCTTTCGCCCGGCCAGCCCTCCCTCGCCCTCCTCCTTCATTGAGGGCACCCGTGGCTTTGCCTCCGCCTTATAAGCCCCGCCGTGTCCCCGCCCCGCCGCTGATGGCAAAGCCCTGTGACTATCATGAGCCCGAACTGTCATATTTTTGGGCCGGGCTGAGCCCTCCTGCACCTGTGCCTGCCCCCCTCGCGGACCCCCGCCCCGCTGCCTTCGCTATAAATAGCGGTTTGGCAAACTCTTCCTTTGCCTAAATTAGTAATTGGGTAGGTGGAAATGTCACCCCTTTTTACAGGCCCTTTGGGAGTTCTGGGGAAGGCACAGAGGTGTGAGAGGATACAACTAAGTATCTTTTTTTTTCCCTCTTTAGGTCAGACAAGCTATCTTTCCCTTGCTTTTCATTTTTCTCAATTCCTATTTGATTATTTGAAATGCGTCCAGGAATGCCATGACAAGGATTTTTTTTTGATTCTCTAAACTTCTGATAGGGAAGGCAACGGAACCAAGTTTTTATTATTTTTTACTCCTTTTAGTGAGGCTGTTCACAGAAAGGAGTATGCAGAGGCTGAAGAGTGAATCCATTTGCACCATCATCTTTTGAACGTTTAAGAGGAACTTTTTAAACAGCTTATTCTTTATATGTAGACACAAAGTCATAAAATGATATTAACTTTCCAGAGAGCTTCCTTCTCCAGTTTACTCATGTAAGGTAGTGCTTTTTGAAGTAAGTTAGCTCTAGCTGGACTGCTTCCTTGAGTAAATACCTCTCACCATGTGTACATGTGGAATCTGTGCTTTAATTTTAATTGTTTCAGATGCTTCTATAATGAGGGCTGCCTCGAGAGATGCTAGGTGAAGGTAGAGTTAGCAACAGTCCTGAATGTTTTTTCAGATGAACATGATGTGAAGTATATTATATGCATTTTTTAATAGTATCTTGTCTAATAGAGCTTAAATCATCCCAACCATTGTGTCCCTATGTTCTTTTTATAAAATCAGCCTATGAAATTATTAAAAGGCATACGTAAAGTTTCCTTGTCCTACAGTGGTTTGTAAAGTAATTGTAAAAAAAATGTTGTGACACAAATATCTAGGTGTATGGTGTCCTGTTCATTTTCTTCACAGCTTTGGAGTCTGCAGAGCTGATTGTTGCATCGTGATCTTGTACTGGCAGATGTGTGTGCAGCACACGAGCGTTGGTGCGGAGCTGTGCCTTGGCTGAAGGTGAGTACAGAAGCTGTTGTTACAGTGGGGTTATTTTCACTGTACTCAAAGGATGGGTGCTGTTTCTGTTTGAGTTTTTTGGTAGTGCCTCCATCATTTGCTCGCTGGCTACCAAGGATTGCCCCTTGAGCTTTTCAGCTGTTACAGTGTGAAACCCACATATCCAGAGTTTAACCATCAAGAATCTGAGGAAAATGTTTTTGAAGGAGTGTTCCTCAGAATCCCTCCCAAGGGCAGGGTGGCGTGCAGCTCTGTCATCGAAGGCAGTTGCTAAACCTCTGGGCTCACAGCTGCCTAGACACGCAGAGGTATGTTTTGTGGCACTTTCACACATACAGTGGTTTTGGAGCTATGTAGGCAGGATGTTCCCTAAGTAATAGGATGTCTCGAGAATCCTCTAGAACATTTTAGTTTTGGCAGTTAATGGCATCTCTTTGAGCCCGCACGGTATCCTATGGCTTAACCGTCTCACACCTTATTAATATCCCCAGTATTCAGTGGATACCTTTTCCTCAGATTGGGTAATTGTTTGGCATCATTAAGTTTTATTCAGAACAACTACTCCTAAGCTGTATTTAACTTGAATTTTTTTGCTTCTATTTCAGGCCTGAAGAAGGGTTTTGTGGCCTAAAATCTTGTTTGTCTCACCCCAGCTATGTCTGTTGATCTAATAAAAGATGATACTTTTTTCCTGCAAAGCTATTTCATGCTCATCAGCCATAAGGTCAGGGCCCAGTGCTTTGATAAAATGAGCTCATCATGAAAATTACCAGATTATTAACAGTCAGAGGTGTAAGATTCTGGAAGTCTTGCGGTGAAGATATTGAAGGCAAGAAAAGGAATTAGTTTTAAGAAGAGCCTGGTGAATTACAGAGAATGGTCTTTTCCAGTCTACAATTCTGTCTTAATTCTGTGTGTTTAACAAGTAGACCTCAGCCAGTGTTTGCACTGTAATTGTTATTTATAGTCAACATTAGTACACTGTTTGATTGATCCTGGTGACATCACTTGCAAATTACACTTTCATCATCATTTCCAAGGTAGCTATATAAAATGATCACTCCACAGAAAATTGGAGCTCAAATTCTTGAATATGAGCAAGACATGACTCTCAGGAAAGTTAGATGTCCAGCAGCTGCCCATTGCTTTAAGCACAGCACAGCATTTGCAGTGGAGTGTCCCCACATCAGCCTCTCAGCTGGTGTAAATTGTCATTGTGCACTGAAGTGAAGCAGTGCTAATTTACACCAACTGGCAATTTGACCTAAGATTAGCTCTCTGCTCAAATTTTTATGCCCTTTATTTTGTTTCTCTTCTGCCTGTGAGCTAGGAAGGTGCCTTGGTTAAGAAAGCAAACTGTGTCACTTCAGTGTTTATTTTACCACATTTGACTTTACGTGCTAGGCAAAAACTGGGAGGCTCAGAAGTGCCTCTGATCCAGTCCTCTTTACATTGAAGTCATGCTAATCGAAATATTTTTGAAACATGTCATCCTTGAGGAGAATGAAAATTGTATTCTACCCTCTTGGATTTAGTAATATGGATGTGCTTCAGAAATACAGGTTGGGTTTTTACATTGGAAAAATGAGTATTTGGCCTAAGATGTATCAAAAGAAACAATACATTTCTAGTATAGATAGCAAACCAAAAATAATTGTGGCAGTAGCTGTAGCAGATTTTAGTATTTGGCTGAGTTGTTTGGGATCAGTGAATTCCAGAACAGTGAAGTCCCACTATCTCCATAAAGAATGTCAAAACTCTGAGGGTTTTTTTCTGAAAACCAGAGGAGTGAAGGAGGGAAAAGCACAGGGGTTTGGTTTTTTTTGTTTGTTTGTTTGTTTGTTTGGGTTTTTTTAAGCTCACAGTTGCAAATCTCATTCACATGGCCCTCAGTGTAAAAGCTCATTTTTTTAAGCCTTTCCTTCATGGTCCCTCAGTTCTCCTGTAGATGTATCTGGCTTTTCCTGAGTTTGTTTTTAAGCTACTTGACATGGTTTTTCTATCACCCGTATTCATAATCATGCACCAAACATCCAGTGAAATCATATTCACCCACATAGCTCAAATTCTTGGATTCCTGAATGGCCTCAGACTTGCTGTTCCTTTAGGTGGTGGCATGTGCCTGCCTGTATTTGGAGGTCTCTGGCATTTCAGCTGTCTGCTTCCCTAAGAACAAAAAAGATCTCATACAAAAAACTGTCTGAAATGAATGGTGACAGTTACACTTACCAGCTATAACAAACTTTACCCAACCCGTAAAAATATGTCTATGCAAATGCCAAGTGTTTATAAATGTTTTTTTTTAGCAAGTTATGTTAGCCACATTTCTCAGTGAGTTATGTGTTGGTCATCTGAAACTTCCTTTTTTTTTGGGCTTGTTTATCCTGCAGATACATTATCTACTTGACACTTTACTAACACAAATATCATTCAACAGTGTGCTTTAATCAAAGATAGAAAATGTTCCCTCTCTTTACATTATTTTTAGAGTACTAATATTTACCGAAAGTTTAATATTAATCTTCTTTGTTAGAACTAAGATAAATTTGGCAGAAGCCAGTTTAATATCCATGGAGCCATCATATAATTTCCCTGGGATAGTTTAGTTTCTGTGTGCCCAGTGACCTTTCTGTTGCACAATATGACTCATTTATTCTAAAGCTTTAATACAGAATTCAAATCCTTTACTAATCATAAGACATTGTTTATGGTAGGAGCAAGGTTATGCCAAGGTTCCTTCCGCTAGAGACCTGGGGGAGCGGGCTGGATGAGACAGCATACTGACTAGTGAAAGAACAAGCAAAGGAATGAGTGTAATTTTCACTTATGAATTTTTAAATCATGGGTTTATTTATTCTTTCCAGAACGCTGCGTTAGTAGGGTTGCTAAGAGGCCTTCTCCAAATCTTTGGAGGCTGCTAGTGTCTCAACAATGTAAAAACCGTCTGGAGGAAGGTAGGCTTTTATTTTAAACAAAAAGGAGGGAGGGAACATCAACTGAACAGTACTTTACTGTGAACTACCAGTAACTAGAACAGCTAATAGTAAGGAAAATTAGGCTAGTAGAATAACAAGCTTAAATAGTTTAATGCTTAACTATCTGGCATCTTGTCACAGTGATATGTGGAGTTGCTCGCAGCCAGGAGCTGCCACTGTCAATGGTGATATTTCCTGCCACTGCTGCAGATGATCCCATGGCTGCCCTTGGTGGCGCAGGGTCTGTAGTCCTGTGGAGGAGGCAGGGGTAGAGTGGCAGGCAGGTCACACTGAGAACTTTGAGGAGATGTGATCGGGGAGAAGCAGCTGTGCACACAAGAAAAATACAGATGAAAACATTTTGGTATATCGTTACTTTGGGGATGTGGGATTCATTTGGAAAAAATAGAGGGAAGGAAAAGTGATGGGGCCTGAATGAAAGGACAAGAGGGTAAATGTAGAAGGAACAGAAGAGGTAATCTGAAGACTCTGTGAGGGAAAGGAGAACTGGACCCCAAAGACAGCCAGCTCATTACTGAAGAAGTTCAATCAGAGATGGAGGAATTCTTCTAAATTCTCAGTTCCTGAAGTGTCAGCTTCTGCAGTTGTTTCACTCCACACGCTGCACCTCCCCAACTTTTCCTGACTGGAGTCCTTTGGAGCTGTTGACCACGATGCTCCAAGAAAGCATCCTCCTTAAATTTCAGTGGCCTACATGAGGAATTTGTTTAATGGGATTAGTGGACAAAGAGGCAAAAAGGAGTAAGATATGCAAGGAATGCTTCTATTTTGTATCTATGTGGTGCCAGGTAACAATTGCAGTAATTCCAGGGATAAATTT